TCCAGCCTTAGCTGATGCCAAATGTTACCGGTCCTTGATTTCCTGATTATAAGTATTTTATACTAAAAAGTGCTATGATTTATGAATTTTCTCTTTTTTGAACAATCTACATCAAATTTTCTCATAATTACATCAGCTTTGAGCCCCCCCCACTTTTTCATATATACTTGTGATTTTTGGAATATAGATGGCGCTTTTGACCTTCTCTCACTGACATGCCATTTGAAATCATTGAGCACAGTTACTGTAAAACAAAAAGGTCCAAAGAAAATCTTCATCTTTTTCATTTCACAACCCCTAACCTGGTAACAGAAATAAAGACGGAGTAAAGAGATTCAGTTTTGAGGCGTTGTACTGAACATGCGTTGAAACAAGGGCACCTTTTCAACTTTGGGCACTCCTTTCCTGTCACAAACATTCTCGACTTTCGTTGCAAAGTCATTAGTAATTAAATTTCAAATGATAAGGACGTGAAAGCTTGAGATTTACCCAAGGATTCTCTTTTTAATGTCTGTCATTTTCCCATCAGTTTTTACGCATTGAGTTTTATTTCTGAATTGAACGTATGTATGTATAAGCATAATTTTGACATTCTTGGTATTTTTCAAAGAAATCTCAGAAAGTAGCACGAGATCAAATTAAACCAAATATACTCACTTTTTGGGGGGAGGATAATGAACTAGCAAAGTGAACCAGTAAAGACACAAAATAGACAAAATAAAAAAAAAAAACTTATGCCCGCCTTAAAACGCCCGCCTTATAAGTCTGCACATATTCTAAACCCCTGCTTCATAGACAAAAATGGGTTACTTTCGACTGGAAATTGAATGCTGATTTTTTTTTATTTTCACCAATATCCAAAGTTTACAAGTCATGGAGTGATTTCTTTTTAGGGCAAGGGAAGTTAGGGAACCACTGGATTTTTAAAACTACAAAATTATTAATTGTGAAATGTCAGCTTTGGAAAGATCAGTATTTTTTGCTCAACTAATTTGCTGATACACGACACCATAAGTGATGTACAAGAGGAGAATGCCTTCGAGTTAGCATTTCTTGCCTTTTTTAATTCTTTGAACACTGCAAAATACCACTCCCATTTCGTCACTTTCCTTCTGATAACAATTTGAGGATGTACAAGCAGATAGCAATTAATTACCAGCGCTAATAATAGGCCTGTCATGCTCTATATACCAGTTACAATTTTAAAATCTATTTATTAAAAAAAAGCTCAGGCTAAAGAAACTAGCGCGCGGTTCATTCAAGGTAAAGTGTATTATGCGGATAATTATGGGTTTTTATACAATCGTCAAAGGATTCTTAACAAGAAGATTTGTAATTTGTGTAATGGGGGTGGGGGGCTTGTGACCCTTGATTGCTGGCAGGCCAAAAAGGAGAGAACACAGACAAGGTGGTTGGAATAGGTAGTGAATGGTACAGCACTGAAGCATGTTCAACAACAAATCCTCATCAACAAAAGAACTTAGTCTAAGAATCATTACTACAAAATTAAACAAAGCATAAAGTGAAAAAAGTAAAACAAAAGTATATGTATAAACTCTCGAGATCTCATACACACACAAAAGTGAACTTCATCTGTCACTGGAGTCTTGCAAGGACCGTGCAAGTCTAATTAAAGATGGAGCCTACTCCACAAGCCAGAATGATTAAAAAAACCTTCTGGACCGTGCCCTAGCAGTGGCACCAAATCTGTTCACAAATCCAAACAAAACCCTGATAGATAAAAACATAAGACTCTAACCTCGAAACACTGGTGGGACTCCAACTTCCCAAGATTAACAATCCAGGCACTGCGTAGCCTGGCACTTGCCTCTTGTCAATCAGACAAAAGGGAAGCAGCAATTTCCATAATCAATGACACCGTCCCAGGCTAGCCTGGCCACTACCAGCTACCCTACACAAGCCCCAAGGCTATAAGCTAATTGGACTGGAATGTCCACCCAGGGGCTGGGCCATGTGGCCTGTGGTCAGTGTTTTACCATAAGGCTACAAGTAAATTTAGGATTCACAAAATGAAAAGAAAAACTTCTGAAATGATAGCTCGATGACACTAAGACTATTAAAAAGTAATAATCAAGAAAACCAATATAAAAGTAATCTATACATTATAATCTGCATGAAACTGGGGCTACCAAGGCAAAACATCATATGGTTTCAATTAAAAATCCAGAAGTAAATGCACTCTCTGGACCAGAATATGGTCAGATTTTGGTCGAGAGTGACCTGCATGTTACATACAAGCAAAAAGTATAGTTGAGCAGAGCATGGGTAACAACTGACAATAAAACTCGATTAACAAAACCCAACAAAAAATCCAAACTTTAAACAAAAGATTCTTAACTATCATTGGGATTCATCAAACTTCTAAATGATATCAAAAAGAGAGGAAATTTCCTTACCTGAAAAGGAGAGAACACAGACAAGGTGGTTGGAATAGGTAGTGAATGGTACAGCACTGAAGCATGCTGGATCACACCACCCAGACCAGTGCACCACCCCATCCAGGGTCACTCAACTTTCAAGAAGGGGATCTAACTGTCTACAGTAAGCACAGGTGTAGTGGGCTAAATCAAGTTGAAACTCCAAAAGCAAAAACAAAAAGTGGTTAGGGGTGTATCATACAAAAGAAAGAAAACAAAAATGAGTAAAATTTTAAAGGGGACTAGTAAATAAAAAAGAGGGGGGGCACACCTCTTACATCCTCCAACGCTACTCTATTGGCGTCCCTGCCAATACATGTCTGTAGAATAATTTAAATGTTCACTAGTGTTCTTTGATTTCTTCAGTACACTAAACGCTCTGGAGCTTTACCGCGGGTGGAATTCGTGGATCTCCGCCTGGTTACAGGTTCTGGCATGGGGGAGTCCGCACGTATTGGTACCGGGGTCAGCAACTTTGCTGGGGGCTGTACACTTGCCTGAGAGGTGGGGTCGGAAGACGTCTTCGGGGAACTGGAAGCTGCTGATTTGGCGATGGTGGGACGTGTAATGGGGGTGGGGGGGACGGCATCAGTGCTGAGCTGTGTGTGCGGTTCTCGAATTTTCACTGGTGAGACAGGTGGCAACATGCGCCCAG